AAATTTCCCAATTCAATTGCTCTCACCGCTTGCTTTGGTGTCAGGATGATATTTGATTTCCAGAGCTAAAACTTTCCAGTAAGTTAGTACAAAAGCCAAGGTTCCATTTTATATTGATTTTATGATCAAGCGGCATATACCAGAGGCCTTTTTTAATAGTCAAAGTTGGCCTTCATTTTCTAGCACGTCTAACGTCACAAATATGACCTCTTTACACTTGTCGATTATAAAAATGTAAAGCATTGTTTATCAAATTTTCTTTTAGGATTTTCAAGAGTAAGAACAAAATAATAATTCGGTGAAGTTTCAATGTCAGGGAATGTTTCTTACGCGTTCACCCTTCTCTCGAAGTTACCATTGCATCCTGCCGTGTTTTGTGCGAAAAACGAGCATAAAATCGATTTTTCAAACTTTTCCTAATTTCTCCTTTAAAATGAATCGTTTGAACCCAAAACTATTTTTCCTTAAATAAGGTCACTAAAAGGGATGTTTTGGCAAAATAAAAAAAATTCGATTTTTTGACGAGTGTCGTGCGATTCTCGATTTTCTCAGATAATGGCTCTTAAGACTTCCTGGCTGCGATGAGACGATTAGTAGTACATTAATAAAAAGCCTATTTAGCATATTAAATGACTTTGAATCTTTGTTTAACAGATGTATCGATCAAGACTCGGTTAATAAACTATGTTTCACTGATCATGACAGTATAGCTCGTTTTCTAAAAAACAGACAATTGTGCTATTTTTTTTGCTAGTTGCAAGGTGGCAACAAGATGGCCACAAGATGGCCGATAACTCTGTCGTTTAATAAAATGAAAATACAGACCACATATCTAATTGGTTTGTGACATAATGAAGCTATCATATAAGGAAAACAGATGTATTAATAAAAGGTTCGCTTGAACGTAGTTGCTTCGGAGAAAAGTGATGGTAATGACAAACTACCAAGCAATTAGAGAACTGTATTGTTCTACAAAATTGACTGGAGAGTCGAGGAGAGGTACATGACGAGCTAATTTTTCTCTAAGACAAAAGAGTATAGCTAAATATGATGGTGAATGATGGTGCAAGTTCTATGTTAATATTTTGGGTTCACTATACTCAATCGAAATGAACGTCAGCATGGCGTTTTTGGTTTTAAATATTTTGCCTTTCATATAACAGATCCGAATTGGACGAGCCGGGAGATGATGTGAACGGTGGAATTATATTTAAAAAACAATTTAAATGAAGATATAAACTTGACGTGGTGAAATAGCAATTTAAGCAATTGCAAATAAACCGCCCAAAATGTTTAAGTTATAGCCCACAAAGTCTGACATGTTTGGGGATATACTCGGTTAAGACTTCCTCTTCTAAAGAAAATGTGGCCAATTTAGTGCTGGTATCCATGTGAACGTCAGTCAAGGAAAACCGGCACAAGCAATTTGAAGCTACAAAATACAGAGACTCTTTAATGATAAGCCCCACTAGTAACAGACTCGCCAATATAAGCTCCTCTCTAACTTGCATTGAAATGAATTTGATTTATTATGATATTTTGTAGCTTTTACCAGTAACTGCAAAACATATTCAAATCAGCACCGCGTTAGCTTGTTTCGAACAGCTTTTTCCAATTCCGTTATAATCTCCCTCGGATATAAGCCCCTCCGTTTAATTTATCAAGAGCCCTTCTAAAAACCCTTGCAAAGATGTATAATCCCAGCGCTTTTAAGCGGCAGTTTACGGCACCGGCCGCATATCATATGTTCGGCTCACAAATTTAACACCTCGATCCGTTGGCAAAATTTTCTCGTTTTTGCTCTCACTATGTTTACTAAAACTGCTGACTGCTCTCAGCTAATCGTCGAATTCAATTTTTTTTTCTCATGATTTTTATATGATAAAACAGGTTACATTCTAATTTCCTAAGCTCGAACGAACGTTTTATTTTCTTTAATTCCCACCTCGTAAATGGCCCAGACTTTTGAGCCCATTATTTGAACATTTGTACATTGTTACTGAGACCTTACTGTCTGCGATGACATTATGAGCGCGTCAGTTTAACTTCTAGCAATTGACGAAAACCGGTTTTTACTCAATTTGAATATATGCTTAACAGAAATATCGATCAAGACTTGGTTAATACACTTTTTATTACTAACAGTTTAACTCGTTTTCTAAGAGCTAGGCAATTGTGCTATTTGCTCGCTAATGGCAGGGCAACACAAAGGCAACTCAAAGATTGTCGAATTCCATCGTTTAATAAACTGAGAATGCAGAGCAAATATTTAATTGTTTGCTGACAAGGCGAATGTAGCAGTCAGAAAAGGAGGACAGATATATTAAAAAAGAGTTCAGTTGACTGTAGCCGCATCGCAGAAAATTCATAGGAATGACAAATTTTACTTGAGGTGAAAACCACCAAACAATTGTAGAACTTTACCACTTTACTAAATAGAGCCTACAAACTCATCAAACATGCAAGTTAATAATCAGAATATACTTTTAAAATACAAAATAAAAATATCGCTCGCTAGTTAGCTAATTAGTTCTCTGACAGAGAAGACTATGAATAAGCAATAGAAAGAGAACAACACATTTGCGCGAAGTTCCATCACAGAGACACCAGCCAGAAAACCGTCAAAGAATTGTACTGTCAGTACGAAATGTACTTAAAATACAGTAGCATACATAAATAACAGCTGTCTATAACTGCAAAAGCCACTATGTTATAATAAAGACAAACGTAATAAGTTCCCTTTGGTAAAAACTCATCAGGGTGCAAAGATAGTAGTTTTCCCACTATGATAGGAGATGATTATAGCTAACTTACTCGGCGCCACCCGCCTCGTTGGCTCCCCACCATCTCATATCCAATTACGTATACTTTGCAAGAAGGATGTCCCTATACTTTGTGTTCAGTACGTGTCTTTAGCCGGAATAGCGAAATTGGCAGTAAATGTTTCCCAGAAATGTTATTTAGTTTACTTGGTTTTTCTGTGTAACATACTCAGGGTGTGTCAATATTTCCAAAACGAGCTTTCGGTGGAAAGATCTATCTTTGCTATACTTGTTGCTGCTTTTTACAAACTTAATACCGCTCAGACGGCTCAGAAGGCTTGAACTGAAAGCTAACTGCGTACGGGAACTTCAAAATATGAATCGTTCCATATGGAACGAAAACGACCAAAGCGGTTGTCAAACAAGGAGCAACTTCAGTTTATTTATGGTTCAGTTCGGTAAAAATAAATGAGACGCGCTAATACGAATTTTTTTTCCCAAAATATTGCGATTACTTAATTTGACAGTGTTTCATGATGAGCGCCCGTATATAAACAATTTTTAATTTACGGTACATCAAAATACACATTTTAACACATTAACAACGGTTGTGTCTAATTAATGGCATTTTAGTAAAATATGAATCGTTCCCATTTGGAACGAAAATGACCAAAGGGGGTTGTCAAATAAGTAGCAACATCAGTTTATTTCTGGTTCAGTTCTGTAAAAATAAATGAGGTGCGCTAATACGAATTTTTTTTCCCCAAAATATTGCTATAATTTAATTTGACAGTGTTTCATGATGAGCCCCCGTATATGAATAATTTTTAATTTACGGTACATCAAAATACACATTTTAACACATTAACAACGGTTGTGTCTAATTAATGGCATTTTAGTAAAATCTAGCGCCTAAAGAAAGCTTTTGTTGTGTTTTTTTTTTTCTTGTAAGCAAGTTCATATCCTCTGGACGGTACCCATCGTGTAAAAGGAGGCGCCGCTTTCAATCGGCCTTTGATTCGGGCTTCTGAGGTGCACTTTGCTCATTCAAATATTCCCTATAAAACAAATTTATTAATTCATCTCATCTCGTACCTGACCCTGAATTTTTAGCCCCTTTTTTTCAGCACGTCCATACTAATAAGGGTTCCTGGCTACTATGAAACAATTAGTATAGTACACTAATAATATGGTGTAATTCTCCTTTTACACCATGGGTACCGTCCGGAGGATATGAACTTGCTTACAAGAAAAAAAAACACAGTCAAACTTCGAGCAACTGATAAAAACCGTGTTTAAAGAAATTTATCATAAGCTCGTGTTTACAAAACTGTCGATCAAGACTCGTTTAGTAAACTTGATTACAAAATAGCAGTCACCCAGCCATAAACCCGCGATAGCTAGTATTCTGAAAACCAGCCGGACAGTTGTGCTAATTTTGCCTCCACTACTCAACCGGTACACACAAGACAACAATGTTCATATATGGGCGCGTGGGCCAGCCAAGCCACCGTGCCGTTTATTCAACATCTATGCAGATATGTACAAAGCCGGACACGAAAACCCCAAAAAACCAGCAGGTGGAAAAAACACGGGGAACGTGTACCCCCGACCAAGGCAGTGGTGCAACCCTTGGGGTTTTAGGGTATGCTAGTGCCTAAACTATAAACATCAATAAACACACGAATAAAATAAAAGAGAGAAAAGCAACCTAACACGGTGAAGGCTGACCGTAGAATGCCTCACCTTCCTAACGACCACGAATTACAGACTCGAATCCCATGACTCACTGCGCACTAACACCCTCCATAGACCTCTGATACGTGCCGGCAAAATAGTAATTTATGATAATACGGTGTAATCACAAATTACATTTTGTATAGGTAATAGCATGATTTGTAGTGATATTTGGAATATTAATACCACGAGTGATATTTCAAAATTGTTATACGTAATTTCACCAGCCAATAGGCGAGTGAAATTTGAGACAATTTTGAAATATCACGAGTGGTATTTATGCCAAATATCACGTACAAATCATGCTATTATTTGTTTATACTACTACCCGCAATACTATACTAATTACACGGCGGCACCAAGACTGAATTCTGTCGTTTAATAAAAGGAAAATACTGCGCACATATCTAATTGGTTTCTCACAAAATGAAGAGGTCATAAAAGGAGAACAGGTATATTAAAAATGAGTTCAGTTGATTGTAGCTGCGTCACAGAGAAGTCATGGAAATGAAAAATTTTACTGGAGGTGAAAACCTGCAAACAATTGCAGCACGTTCCTGCTCTGTGGATTTTACTGGAGAAGTACATGGCGAGCTCGTTTTCCTCACTGTCATTAACACTTTTTTGTCGATTACAGCATTTTTGGGGAATACTCTGATCCTAGTTGCCCTTCGCAAGGACACATCAATTCATCCGTCATCCAAACTCTTGTATCGTAACCTAGCGATAACCGATCTTTGTGTTGGCGTCATTGCGGAGCCTCTACGCGTTGCATATTGGATTTCTGTGATGAACGAACGATGGGATATTTGCTATTACGCAAATTTGACAGCAAATTTCGCAGGTGCTACTTTGTGTGTAGTGTCGTTGATAACACTGACTGCAATAAGCGTGGACAGACTTCTCGCTTTGCTACTAGGTCTCAGATACAGACAAGTTGTAACTTTGAAAAGAACGCGTTTAATTGCTATTGGTGGTTGGATTGTGCCTATTGTCGGTGCATCTAGCTTCTTTCTGAATCGTTTTATAGTTTCATTGTTCGTATATATAGCTACAGCTTTTTGTTTAGTTACTACAATCTGTGCCTACACAAAAATTTTCATGTCTCTGCGTCATAACCAAATTCATGGTCAGAACCATGTTGTTCAAGGATCGAGCCAAGCAAATACACTGAATAAAGCTCGATACAGAAAGGCAGTGTACAGTGCACTGTGGGTGCAGGTAACATTGGTTATTTGTTATCTGCCGTACCTTATAGTTGTAGCTTTCAGAACCAGTCAAGGGGGGATGCTTATATCTACTTACCTTGCTAGGGAATTTACAGTTACTTTACTGTATTTAAACTCGTCGTTAAACCCGTTTGTGTACTGCTGGAAGATCACAGAAGTGAGACAAGCCGTAAAAGAAACATTACAACTACAATTCTGTATCAACTAAGACTATAGATTAAGACTTACGGCATTAAGACTACCAGTTGCAAAAAGCCGACCAGAAAGAGCTAGAAAGTGTAGTTTTGGCTTGTCAAAGGAACATTTACTAACGAACTTGATAGGAAACTATAAAATATGAAAGAAAATAAATAATAGGGATACATGTACTTCCCATAAGCTTTAAAATTAGAACTTCAATTCTTTTTAAGCTTGTAGAACCACACCTCGCTTGTAATTATTTTTCACCAAATTCAAATCAAATATGTCTCAAACATAAAAGAAGAGCTTTCATGGCTTTTGAAATGGAGAGGAGCCTAGAGAAACTACAACTGATAAAATTGAAAGAAAAAAAACCGACCGCAATCCCCAGCCCCCCCCCCATTTTTACGTTTTTAGAGTTAACCATAGCTCGACTTAGAAAAGCAGACAAATGTCCTGTATCTTTCCGAACCGATAAGATTGTTTTCTGTCTAATTGCAGGTTATAAGATAAGAACAAAACTCATTAATACAAAACTCAGAGTATTGTGCTGTTCTGCGAAATTTCCTTTAACATACGGTAGGATAAATAACAGCTGTTTATCAAACAAAAGCCACTATGTTATAATCAAAACAAACGTCATAAGATCAGTTTGCTAAAAACTAATCAGGGCGCAGAGATAGTACTCTACCCAAATGTTGCTTTTTTCAAAATTTAACATTGTTTATTGTGAGATAATGAGGGCCAGTATATTATGCAATTCAAACTTTGTGGGCAATAAATACTTTACTTTAACATTTGTTTCGTTGCCTAAAGTTGCTTTACGCAAAGTATCATCACTTTGTCCGCCATCCAAACTCCTGTATGGCAACCTGGCGATAACTGACCTCTGTGTTGGTATTGTATGGTGGCCTAGAACTGCCATAAGGAATTTTCTTGATAATTCAAGAAAATTCAACTTTTGTAATCGATTAATTTTAAAATTACTGCATTTTTTTTCCACAAAGAAAATATTAAAGATGTATTCTTTATTTTTTAACGACAATTTATTTTTAAAACGCTTGAATTCGTTTGACTTTTGAAAGTACTACAAATTATTTTTAAAAAGATAATATTAAAAGGAGTATTTGTTTTCATATTAGAAACTCTTCATTTTTTTTTTTTTTTTGGTCTTTGTTTTCACTTGTTTGTTTTTGTTTTGGTTTTTTTCCCTAAGGCGAATATTTTTTTAAGGGACTGGAACGTTTTTTTTTTTTCACTTTTTTTTCGTCTTGACAAGCCGAGAACTGCCATAACCCAAAATGCTCCTGGCACCTGATGTTATCCCATAATCCTTTTCGCTAATATCAGTTGTGGCGCCAAACTCTGAGATTAACATGGCGGCTGGGCGTGATAAAGATTGGCGTAACTCTCAAAAGAAAATGAAAGAGAAAAGAGTCGCAGGGAAAGAGAAGAAAGCAAAGGGGAAAGGTGCAGCAGCACTGCCTGACGACACCATCACAGTTCAAAGGCTTAGCGCAGAAGTCACAGGGAAACTGCAGAAGTACTCCCGCATTGGGGCCCGTGTCTTCGTCTCTTATGAATTCGAAGAATACACGATCGAGAATATAAAGAGTGCTTGCATGAAGCACTTCGGGATTCCTGAAGATGGCATTTTATGCTGTGATGTCCTGGCAGGCGAACAGGGGCCTTCCTGCTTCTCTGTGAAACAAATTCCTGATTTTAAAGTTATTCACGTGAGGTTCATAGAGAGGTCGGATGGCGAAGGCGAAGCGGAAACCAAACGCTCAAGGCCTGTTGCACGTTCAAGCCCAGTACGAGCACCACCGCCTCAGAGGGCTACTGCGGGCGTGGAAATTGTGTCTACCAGTCATCCCTGTGGTATACGACCAGAAAAAGTATCTCCTGAAAGCAGATTCATCCCTAAGAGCCTCTCTGTCGTTGACATGTTAAAACTTGGCAACAAAATCAAGCGTACAACAACAGCTATAGAGATTTACAATTTTGACTTTCAAGCTATGGCTTGGTCAGCGTCCCCAGTTCTCGTCTACTTTAACGTGGAAGAGACAGCTTTTGGAGCGGGCGGATTCAGGGAAGCTTTCAAGGCCACAAGCAAACACAAAGAGTACTCGTACACTACCTGGGTTGTGAAGCACTACCTCGACAAGTCTTTGGAAGATATGAGAACTCTTGGACAGACTCCAGAACAACACACAAAGAAATCAGTTCAACTGCACTATTTAGCTAGAAACTTTGCAGCCCAGTTACACACTGATCTTGAGAAAGAAGGCAATTTAATTTTGTTTGGAGATACCTTGTCTCACAACAAAGTTATGCTTGGATATATTAGGATGAGTACGTTACTGTCGAAGAATTTGTTAGTGGCACGTTTGACAAGTACATCAATAATGATGGAACAATATGTGGAAAGAACAAGAACCTTACGGAAAAGGCAGAATGTTTGGCACACTATAGCTATGAGAAATCAAAGAGGGAAATAATGGTGGTGGATATTCAAGGCTGTGGGGTGCGTTTGTTTGACCCAGGGGTTGCAAGTTCATAAGTTGAGTCGGACAATGAGGGAAAGCTTTTTTGTGTAGGTAACCTCAATAGCCATGCCATTGACAAATTTGTCGAGTTGCATAAGTGCAAAAGCTTTTGTCAGCTATTGGATCTGTCAGTTTTGCGTTAGAAGTGTTGGACAGTGTAGGTCCATCTGAACAAATCCAGGTATTTTGGTTGATTAAACCCATCTCATTTGTTGCGTTGCTTGTTCAAATTCAAAGTTACAGTGTTTTGTACAGTTGGAACCGTCTTGATATATTTTCACTTTGATCCAAGGCAAAGGTTTAAAAAGATTTAGCCATGAAGTGGAGATTTAAATAAATTATAATTACAGATTTATAGTTTAGTCAAATGGGAGCCCTGTTTTCATATCTTATTTGGATTTTTTGGTGTGGTATCTTCAACAGTGACTCAAAAACAATTTTTTTTTTTTTAGATCACCCAGCATCAATAGTCTGATTTGTTGTCATTTGTGTAATGAACTCTGATAATTCCTTGACAGAAGTTTGTCCACTCAAACTGTTATTGATATGAAAGTTTCAGATTAATATGTATTCTATTTCAACTGTAAAATGATATTTTACTGTTTATGCTGCTGTTATTGTACTCCAGACATTGGTACCCTCAATGGGGGGTATTAGGCATATCGTGGGGGATAAAACTGTTAGTAACTTCAAACGTGGGGGATGATCGGCTTCTAAACAGTATCATTGCTTCAAAATAGTACCAGAAATGCTTATTTTTTAAACGAAAAATGGAGCTATTTATTTCTAATTTAACAAGGGTCTGCCAGATATCCCTTCAGGGAAAAGTTTTAGCACATAAATCTAGAGACACAATATGCATAACTCATCAGGTGATTTCATAAGTTGTAGCAGGACCAAAAAGGTCTCCATTTTTTCAACCAAGCTGACAGATATTTTTAGAATTCTCTAGTATGGACTTTTTATCCCTTTATATCTCTGTTGCCCATCAGAGCCGAGGCATTCATTTTATGTTACAGACAAGTTGTGAGGCTCAGTGTGCTAGCTATTTCAAGTTATCCAGTTGAGAAGCTCCATACTTACCAATGGCCACCCTCTGTTCGCACTTATGTCCAGAAATGCATGCAATGGCGAAAATGGCGAAACTGGCGAAAAATCGCCAGCCGCTTGCGATTTGAATTGGATGCCAAAAGTGGCCCCTTGGAGGCTGGCGATTTTGGCGAAAATGGCAATTTTGGCGAAATTGGCGATTTTGGCAAAAATCGCCATGCATGCAATGGTGAAAATGGCGAAACTGGCGAAAAATCACCGGCCTCTGGCGATTTGAATTGGATGCCAAAAGTGGCCCCTTGGAGGCTGGCGATTTTGGCGAAATTGGCGATTTTGGCAAAAATCGCCAGAGGGCTGGCGATATGTGGCAAAATATTCAAATTGGATGCCAAAAGTGGCACCTTCAAAGTAGATAACTAAAGAGGTCCTTATAACTGTGAGGCAACAGTACTAAAAAAAAGTTCAAATTACTTGCCTAATAAGAGGCCCCAATAACTGTGAGGCAACATTTATCAAATACAACTGAATCAAATATATGACAAAACAGCTTTACCTAACTGTCAAACAACATTACTTTATCAAATACAACTGAATCAAATATATCTGAAAACAACAAATGGAAGTCGTTTCAGTTAAGCTAATTTGTATTTGTGCCATGTACTTCACAGGTTAAGTAAACATTTCCTTACTTTCGATGTCGCTTGACTTACCAAAAGTGATGTGATGCGCTGAAATATCACACGAGCATCATTTGCTTTTGTATGGTTCATTCCTTTCAAAGACTTACAAGTCCACTAATTACTCGAGGAGAGAACTACCAAGTCCTTGAAATCATAATAATTCCTTGCCATGGACACTCTAACTTTTGAGGTTCGATGTAGACCTTAACAATCCTCACTCGTTATGTTGATAGGAGACAATTCTGTCATGGTAAAGTAGGGGTCAGCGGTGTTCCGCGTGGGCCGTATTGTATTGTATGAAGATGGCTGCATGTGCTCTGAGAATAAAGTGTTGTGTTCTCGAAAGCTGTTGTTCCTTTGATGGAAGCTTCCCCAGCCGGTCAACATGGTGTCAGAAGTAGACGAACACGCGCCTCAAGTCAGGAAGTTTCGTCCATAGTACAGTTTATGTTTGAGAACGAACTGTGGGAGTTGTACGAATCGTTCCCGCCATTTTCGGATGTTATCAAGCTGGTGCCCGTATAAATTGTTTGTGTTTGCTGTTATCATGACCACCGCTCCAGTGGGTTTTCCTGTCCCTCAAATGCAAGAGGGACTAGATGAGCGAGAAGCTCTAGACTGTTTCATATTGGATTATCTTGATTATTGCACGGTGATGGCATGGTTCGAGCGGAAAGACGAATGTAAATATGACGATCAAAGCGAGGATGGGAAAAAACAATGGAAGAAACAAAACCTTTGTATGTCAA